CACGCGGGCAAAGCCGCGGGCGCAAGCTTGTATTTAATAACAGTATTAATTTATATTTCCTCCTTGGTAACAATATTAATATATGTATATGTATGTATATTTTTATCGGACAACCACGAAAACACACAAGTGCAAATAAGTTTTATCATTGCAAACAATTGTATGAATCCGGATTAGCGTTGAATTAGAGCATGCTATCTAAGGCTGACCACAGAGGACACGATTACGACGCCTACGCAGTCGCATCGTGTATAGTGCGTGATAACGCCCAGTCTACACTCGGGTGATAAGCGAGAGCAAATAGTGGGGTAGAGCCCACATAATCCCCGAGATCATTATGTTAAATTCAAGGTCATTGAGTTGAATGCATTGTTTTACTTGCAAAATGGCTCATGAACGGCATATTGCTATCAATATATATTACTTGTCACTGAAGTCTTGTAAACTTAAGTTCGGATCATAATAAAGCTACAAGTAAGTGATGAAAATGATCAGACGAACGTTTTCGACCTTTTGGGGATGGAAGGGATTTGGAGATTTGGGGAAAGCGAACGGATTTGGGCAGGGGAAGGATTGGGCCTCCAGTAACCTCACTCACACGGCGTTACACAACTCTTTGGTTATTTCACGACGGTTTTCTGTGAGGCCGTGGTATCAGTCCGGTCGAGCCGACCCATTCGTGCCGAAGCATGACACTTAAATAATTCCTCTCGGCCCACCCATGGTGGAAGAACTCTTATAATACATTTTCTCACTCAAAAATAAAATCATGTAGGTAATCTAAATGAATAGGTTTTCCCAACATTGAAACAAGTCAGACGAGATATTCAATAATAACTGAAAGACTATAAAAAAGTGGATCCACGGAGATGCTTGCTTCAACCGTCACCGACAGAAATAGACAAAGATCTCATGATTAAAGATAGGTGTTTTCGACCAGGTAATGTTTATAAACAATACTACAGAATTATGCGAAATGATTCTCATTTTAAGAATTTATAAGAAAACTTCGAGTACCTAATATATTTCTTTGAATGGATTTGTAGATGAAAATAAACATACCGGAGAATTCTTCTTATTAGTGTATTTGCGAAGCGCAAATATGATGGGAAGTGTGTTTAGTTTGAACTGTACTTTACAGTTATACTTTACAGTACTATTTATCAGTTTGTTTGTAAGTGTTATCTCTTTAAACCGCTGAACCGGTTACGATAAATTGATTCGTGAGAAATTCGACAACGATTTAAAAGTCAAGTGTGGGAGCCTAGCTTCGGCACGGGTGAATCGGCTCCACCAGGATGACTTCACAACCTCACAGAAAAGGTGCGTCCAAAAACCACAGAGGGTTGTATTTCGCTGGCGTTGCCGGAGGCTCAAACTTTCGCCTCCCCCAATGCCCACCGAATCCCTAAATCTCCGAAACCCTAATCCTCAAAATGCCGGCAATACACTCAAACCTCCTCTGGTGTTGAGGGTGCCCATGGGTCGTACTAATTGCTTACTATCAGGTAATCAGTCTACCGTTATACATTTCCGACTTTAAACAGTCTCATTCCAATATCAGTTTATTCAGCTGCAGTTCACACGATGTAAATCGATATATCATGTAATCGATACATATGATAATAATATGTTTACGAACAATTCCTGATAGTAAATGTAAGACATGAGATCCACCTATTCATAGTATCAGACCTATCATATACGGGCAGACTGATTAATTGATTGTTGCAACAACAGAAGAGTTACGAGTGAGTTGCCGATCTTTTAGAGATTAGGGATGGTAGGAGGGTATAGATTGGGCCTTCGGTAACTTCACTCGTTTTGCTTCACGCAAATTTTCTGTGAGGTCGTTGTATCACTTCGGTTGAGACTTGAGCCGACGTATTCGTGCCGAAACATGGCCTACCCACACTTAAACTAGTAGTAGCAAGGATACGTGAATTTGTGCAAGAAAGAGTAGTGATGGCCTGGAGGTTAAGGCCCTTGTCTGTCAAAAAAGAGGTAGCGATTTTGAAAGTATCGATAAAATTTATTCCAAAATACATATATGTATACATATTATACTAAGATTATCAAGATACCAGTGACAAACGACGAATGAAAACATCGCGAGGACATCTGAACTAGGACTGAATTTATATTTTAAACGCCTTGATCGAGCTTATATTTATAGTGATTAATGCTCGAACCTTCTTCTAGTATTAATTCGCTTTTGCTGAGCCATAAGCACCTATAGGCTGATGATGATAACGATGACGTGTGGAAATCAGTTCCTAATTGAGGCAAAACATGTATCTCCCAATATTTTGACCGCACGGTTGGTGCAGTGGCTGGGCAACTGGCTGCCGTACAACGTGTCGCGGGTTCGATTCCCGCACGGAACTACTCTTGGTGTGATCCACAAATTGTTGTTCCGGGTCTGGGTGTGATGTGTATATGTGAAATTGTATGTTCGTAACCGCACCCACGACACAGAAGAAAAATCCTAATGTGGAGCATTTTGTTTAAAAAAAAATAAGAAAAAGAAAGAAATATAAAATATTCAGTAGACTAAAAACTTGCAAATTGATAGAACAGTTATCTGTTTAACATTCAGATAGAATGAACCGTTACTAGGCATTATAATTACGTTACAGATTGAGTAAACGAGCACAGATGTAGGTAGTTACAGCTGGGGAATCTAAAATAAATGATTCATGACTAATTTTATGGATGATGTTCCCTGGTCGGTGGTTTCAATTATAATTTATTGATAAGCACATACAGGTAAACATTACGATCATTAGACCAGAAGAGCTAATTATAAAGCCAGTAACTTTTGCCCGCGTTACTACATTCGCGTGGAGTAGTGACTTTGACGATTTTTGGTATAAAAACTATCCTATGTCCTTTCTCGAGTTCTAAACCATGTCTGTACGAAAGTTCACAGAAATCGATTCAGTATCAATAGTTTAGGCATGAAGAAAAGACAGACAGAGTTACTTTAGCATTTATAATATTAGTTTGAATTGAATTTAAAACCTCACAGCCTCATAAGCCGACATCGTTTGGTTTTTTTGTAAATATAATTTTGACATGTAGAAGTGCTGTTTTATGGCCTATTTGCAAAAAAATATTCATTTGTTTCATACGAAGCCTTTATATTCACAATCTGTTATTTATACATTTTATTCTTACTATGTATGTTTAACTTTGTAACAACTTTGTTTCATTAAAGCGATGACAATGCAAAACTAATATCTTACAGATGTCAGACTGACTTTGATTGAGCAAAAAGTTTAAATCTTCGTGTCATCATTTTTTTCTACTGTATCTTAGTCATAATGTTACGGCTCTTAGAGCATTCACATTTCATCATCATCAGCCTATGATTGCCTACTGCTGAGGAAGGTCTCTTCTTACTCGGAGAAGGTTTGAACCACCAAGCTCGCTCAAGGCGGATAAGCGACTTCAAAGTTAAAATTAGAAAATTTAAGACCAGGGGGCTAACCATGACGTCAAAGTAAGACTGTTTTAATCTTACTTCAGTGTAGGTAAGAGAAAGAGCTATATAAGTTGTCTAGCTCTGTCTAAACCAACGTGAAACAACCACAGCGTAGTATTTCGCCGTCTGAGTGAGGCTACCGGAGGCCCAATCCTTCCCCTCCCCCAATCCCTAAATCTCCAAAATCATAATCCCTGAAACGTGGGCAACGCACTCGTAACCCCTCCGCTGTGGGTGTCCCATGGGCGGCGTGATTGCTTACCATCGGGTAATCCGTCTGCTCGTTTGCCGATTTGTTACACATAAAAAAGTCTTACTTTGATTGTCATGGTTACCCTCCAGGTTTTCTCAAGATGTTTTCCTTTTAAGGTATGTCATTGGTGTCTAAATAAACTTAGAAAGTACTTGAACAATATACTTTATACTTGCCAGGTTTTCACGCCTCTTTATGTATGAGAAGCGGGCGCCTTAGCCTCCTGGCTACCACGATAGCAACTTAGATATAAAACCTACAAATTAATGATATAGGTACGAAGTTTAACCGGTACTTACTGTTTTAATTGTGGGTTTTCCCAACTATGCGGTTTGCTCAACGACTATGCGGTTCGTTCTTTTGTTATATTACCGATGTAGCAAGTCACAAACTTTATCAAGAAAGAAGATCTGATCTCTCACTGGTTAAGAAATACTTCTCCATTTATGGAAACTGGACTGCAATACAGAAGAGTTACAAGTGCTTTCTAACGTTCGTGGCTTTTGACTTTGACTTTGACTATCAGACGTTCACAGATAAGGCCCATTAGGGCTGATGTCTAGCCGGCGTTTATCAAGAAAGAAGATCTGATCTCTCACTGGTTAATAAATACTTCTCCATTTATGGAAACTGGACTGCAATACAGAAGAGCTACAAGTGCTTTCTAACGTTCGTGGCTTTTGACTTTGACTTTGACTATCAGACGTTCACAGGGCCCATTAGGGCTGATGTCTAGCCGGCGTTGCGAGTGCAAGCGGTGAAGTGCCTACCGAAGCCCGTTTCGTACCAAGCGAAGAAACTGAATGGTATGTAGTCAATAAGAGTCTAAACTCCCTATGTAAGTTGGTATAAGTATTTTTAACCTTTAGTCTGCTGGTAAATGAGACACAATAGAAAAACGTTACGACGTATCACGGGTGAAATGACTTTCTGTCCTCAAAAAAGGTGGGCAACCAAGCACACAACGAAAGCAGTAGCATTCATGCTAAAGCATGGCTTTCTTCTCACTCTTAGCTATTTTTTTTAATCTATAATAACAGCTCACATTTTGGGATTGGTAAACGATACTGGTCAATAAGGTTCAATATTTTTATAATTAACCTTTAAATCGTGGTAATTCGAGACACGGTAGAAGAACAATAGATGCGTGGACGCCGGCGTTTGCTTGGGGTTCGATGAATTAGTTCAATAGGTCACTATTCCACAAACATTAAAGCCTTATAACACAAGAATCACGGCAATACGTAAGATCTTCTGCCTCTATGCCACAATAACTTGTTCTCCAAACGTCTGCAACCAAAAAAGGTCCTTAACTCGTTCCAACTGGAGTTTAAATCAAAACAAATCGATGATATATTTGTTCTACCATCTGTAAGCTTTTAAATATTTGTTTCTCTGTATATTTGCGTAGGTATGCTAATACATAATATATCATATCGTATCCTATTGTGGTGCTATTAATAGCTAGCATATATCTCCACTAATGTTGTTAAGAGGAAAGATTTTAGTGTTTGGATTGAACGAGCTATGAGCTATGAAACTACTGAACCGATTTACAGTTGGTACGATGAGGCACCGGCGCGGCGCTTAAAGAATTAAGGAACGCCCAGTATGAAATTTACTTTATAAGACTATTTAGACATCACTGACATACAGTGAAGGAAAACATTGTGAGGAAACCTTTTTTGTCAGGGGAAAATCAAATGACTTCTAACGCCAAGGGTGAAATGGAGTGTCAGACTCTTACTGACTAAAAACCCCCCGTTCCTTCTGCTGCTTTAGGCCGAGACCGCGGTGCCTCACTGCGCTAACCCCGATCTCAAGTAACCCAGAACTTATAACTCGTATCCACCTTCAGAAAGCTTTTTGATTAATGCTCAAATCTTCTTCGTGTAATAAGAACTCTTTGCTTAGCAATGGGCTACTTATAGACAGTCTGGTGATAGCAGGTCTTAGATGAGACTCTTTAAATTACCGAAGCTGCAGCTGGAATGGTACCTATATGAACCTCGAAGGGATAAGTCAGAGATAATTTATAATGTAAATTTATCTAACATAGACTTCTTTTCATTACTCCTCCTATCAGTCCCTTGGGTTTCACATAATTCGAACCTACTTGGTTTCAGAGTTCAGACTTCATGGTATCCCGACCAGAATCGGGAGTTCAAACGCTATAATATACTGCGGCCTGGCCTTGAGCAGAAGAATGATCGGGGTGGTTTTTAGTCAGTAAGAATCTGACACTACTTCTCGTCTCACACAGAGCGGGAGAAGTCTTTTGAAGACTTTCTCTCTTAAAAGTAAATGCTTCTACAAAGAAATTGTTTTAATATAGTACTGAGGGTTGATTTTTCAATGGTTAGATGAAAGTTATCTGGGGAATGATTATGATGCTGTCGCGTCAGAATGTTTGTGTAAGACAGTGACAGCAACAAATTTTATTCCTCAAATAACATTTATCTGACTATTGAAAAATAAGACCTAAATAAACAATCTTTGCTGAATTTAGAAATGGCATCAGATAATAAAAAATAATTATAATATAAAAAAAAACTATCTACATATCTATACCTACTTAGACCACTCCAAATGAACCTTTTAAAAGAAGCTACTTTTTTCAACACTAACATTTTTTAGGTCGAAACTAGCTTGGCAAGTATACAAGTCTGCAAGTTAATTTATTCACGAGCTGTTATTTTATCAAGAAACGATTTTTTATCTTATTTGATATAAGTATCGAAGTAGAATGAATAACAGAGACTTTGGCAAATGGAACTTGCATATTTTTGTTAAAAAATAACCTACGATTTGTTATGTGTGTGTATGTTTGTTACTTTAATACGCAGGAACTACTGAACGGATTTGGATCGAATGGGTTTTTATGCGAATAACGCGTTTTAAAGTCTATAACAAGAGATAGCTTTTTTAAATAATATTTTTGCCTTACACAGTATTAGAATTTAGTATTTTATTAGCCTATAAATGCTACCTATTTTGATCAAAATACGAGCACAAAATCCTCTAGTTTTACTCTTAAGTTTACCTGTTATGGATACGATATTATATACACTACACAACATACATAAAACACTTTTGTTTATCACTTCATTAACAATCAAATTGAATTAACATGTCACTTCACTTCACTGAACTAGTCTTGTATAACTTTAGTATGAAAATATTTTAGTTTTTTTTTTAGTTCGTTACAAAGTAACCGCGCGATACTCCGTCTCCGAAATCATACTAAATACTAACACTGTTTTCAATATGACACTGCTAAAATGCCAGATAATACATTTAGTATACTCCCACTAACTAATACCGTAACTCAACTAAACCACACAAACAAAACCCAATCGTATAACCTACACAATAAAGTCTGTATTCTCTTAGACATAAAGCGCCACTTACGTCATTCACGGACGGCAACAAAAGATAAACACTGAAAAATGTAACGGGCAATCGATAATAAATTTTATAAGCAATTTATTAGAGTTTAAATTTGTTCGTGAGAGGCACTTAGGAAAACGCTTCGAAAATCTCCGGGGGCACGATTCCGTGGGAGTGAGTGAGATAGAATATACATATAGACAAGGTCAGACTCATAACACATATTATACATATTATATATAATATAAAGTTTGAGAATTATTCCTCATTGAATACTGGTTTTTGTGTTTTAATGTTCTCATACTTCATAATTCCATTTTTAAATCCTACACATTTTTACATTGAAAAATTAATATACACTCTATTCTTTGTACTTAAGATTTATAATTGCGTAACACTGTATAGTGAACTGGTTGCATAGTTGATGAAAACACGTGTCTCATACACGTGGGTCAACGGTCAGAGAAGGAGAAAAACAATGTTAACGTATCAGCTGTTTACTATAAACTCATTATAAGTGCAATTATAATTAACCAACCTACAATATTGCCATGAGTGTGGGAGAGCCATGCTTCGGCACGAATGGGTCGGCTCGACCGGATTGATACCACGGCCTCACAGAAAACCGACGTGAAACAACCATAGCGTTGTGTTTCGCCGTGTGAGTGAGGTTACCGGAATCCTCCAATCTCTAAATATCCGAAACTATAATCTCCAAAGCACCGGCAATGCACTAACTCCTCTGATGCTGCAGGTGTCAATGGACTTCGCAGATTGCTTACCATCAGGTAATCTATCTGCTCGTTTGCCGTCTTATCGCATAGAAAAAGACTATCTACTGCCACGAAAATGCGTTCATCTATCGATTCACCACCATTGGGTGAGGACCCAATAGGTACCAGAAGGAACTGAATGAGGGACATCACATTCGACGCCACTCAACAGAACTTATTATTAAACCTGAACGTTTTTAAACTTCAGTACTAGAAAAAACTGGAGATTTTTGTTTTGATATGAAAATCATGAAATACTTCTTCCGCCCAGGGTGGGGCGGGAGGGAGTGACAGACTAAAGTGACAGACTAAAAACCCCCACGTTCCTTGGCCAGGCCGAGGCCGCGGTGCCTTATTGCGCTTAACCCGTAACCCCGGCTGAACATCAGCCCTATAGGGCCCCGTCTGTGGTGGTCTATTGGCTCTTATTTATTCTTATTGGGTCTGGTTCTGGTCGGACGGCGAGCTACCCTTACTCGCCGTCCGCAGACCAGCGCTTACGGTGACCGGATATTATCGTCTCTCGAAGCAATCTGGAGATCTCGGCTCTCTTTTTTGTTCGTTCACTCCCTCTTCCCTCAGAGAAGCCTTTTGGTTATTTTCCCCCAACAAAAAAGGCTTTTGAAGCTTTGCCATTAACTCATTTTTCTGCTGTTGTAATCTCCCCGACGACAGACATACTTAGTCACACATATGAAACCGGTATCAAATCAAGTATATTTAATAAATTCGTCTATACATAAGTTAAAGGTCAAAATTTATATAAGTAAATCAAACAGCGATATATTCTCGTACATGCATTAATTAATTAGGTACCTACATATTTTGTACATAATGTATTCGTATTTGTAAATTTATTTAAATATTCCATTTAGATAATGTTCTTCTTTCAAAAAATATTCTGTTAATAAAAAAAAAATACTCATTCAAAATTATTTTGCGGATGTGGTTTTACCTATGTACCTTTCTACGATTTTTCTTTCAGTAAGGATTTTGGAAAATCTACATTTAGCCAAGGAGGTTTTAGCAATGACCTTAATATATCAGGTGGCAAAAAAAAACAGTTTGAAATTCTTTTCTTTTAATACTTTCCTGTGTATGTGGTAAGAAATCTTTATAATCTACTAGCAAAACACCCCGACTTCGCATGTGTGCAAAGGATACTAAACTACTTAATTTATTTAATGAATGTTATTTTAAAAATAAACTTATCTCTTCAATCACCCAATCAAAGTAACCGCAAAACAAAACGAAGTTGCTTTCTCTGTCCCTGTCCCCATGAATGCTTAAATCTTTGAAACTACGCAACGGATTTTTTTTATGTAATTGATCGGCAAACGAGCAAACGGATTACCTGATGGTAAGCAATCAACGCCGCCCATGGACACCCGCAACGGAGGAGTACGAGTGCGTTGCCGACCTTTTAGGGATTAAGTATTTGGAGACTTAGGGATTGAGGAGGGATTGGGGGCGGGGCAAGATTGGGCCTTCGGTAACCTCACTCACACGGCGAAACACAACGCTGTCGTTGTTCCACGCCGGTCTTCTGTGGGGCCGTGATATCACTCCAGTCGAACCGACCCATTCGTGCCGAAGCATGAATTTTGATGCGGCTTTTTAATAGATAGAGGGAGTTTTTGAAATCCATTAAATAGAGGACTAATTAAGTATTAGCATCGCACCCGTGCGAAGCCGGGACAGGTCGCATATCAAATTTATTCTTTTACAAAATATTCCTACAGAGTACCAAAGTATATAACAATTGACTATCTTTTAAGGCCTGACACGACAAGTCGGTTGCAATAAAAACGTCGTTATCTTTTTATCAGATGAACTTTGTAAGGTAAATAATGGCTGCAACGGCCGCCATCTTGGTATCTCACTTTGTAAGGAGTTTTTATGTGTTTTTTTTTACCTTACTCGAGTTGATAGGCTTGGCTAGAGTAACTGTGTGGGTGGCAGAAGGACACTAGATTTTTTATGTGATATGACGGCAAACGAGCTGACGGATTACCTGATGGTAAGCAATCAGCGTCGCCCATGGACACCCGCAACAAAGAAGGAGTTACGAGTGCGTTGCCGACCTTTTAGGGATTGGGATTTTGGGGATTTAGGGATTGGGCCTCCGGTAACCTCACTCACACGGCGAAACACAACGTTGTGGTTGTTTCACGCCGGTTTTCTGTGAGGCCGTGGTATCACTCCGGTCGAGCCGACCCATTCATGCCGAAGCATGGCTCTCCCACACTAATTTTATTACTAATTTGGTTTTATATTTTGGCTCGTACATCATTATATCATCACCATATAAGTGCCCACTGCTGAGCAAAGGCCTCTTCTTACACGAAGAAGTTTTAAGCATTAATCACCATGTTTGCTCTAGACGGATTGGCGATTCCAAACTTAGAAACTATAAGTCCTAGTTTCCTCACTATGATTTCTTTTACCGTACGTCAGTGGTGTCTAAATAATTATAGAAAGTACATATAACATGGAAAAATCACATTGGTACTTGCCTGGTTTCGGACCAACTCGCTCATACAAGAAAAGCGAGCACCTTAACCTCTGGGCAACCACGATGAAACAAAGAATTTGTTTTTGCAAATAGGCCATAAAACGGCTCTTTTACACGTCAATTTATATGTAAAAAACTAGATGAAGCCGGCATTTCCTATCTGACTACTCTGAGAAGAAACTCAGAGATCAGTCTCTTTTCAAGTCCAGGCAATGTAGATATTTTAGTAGGGTACTACAGTCATGTTTTATTATTTGTAATAGCGTTTGGCCACTATTTCGCCTGGTGGTAGGCAATGATGAAACCAATGTCCTTAGGCCTTTAAGGCACCCAGGTTTCGAATAACGGCAAGGAAAGCAGTCATCAATAAAAATGTTGAGGAATGGGGGTTTAAGAATAGTAACCTCACTCATCGACGTCATACAAAGGCTATGATTGTTTCACGCTAATATTCTGTGAAGCCGTAGCATCACTCCGGTCGAGTTGACCCATTCGTACGGACAAGCATGACTCTCTTAGATTTAAAACTATAAGTTTATTGGAAATGTCCATTTTTCCTGATGACGAGATCAGTATATTATTATTATAACGAACCCCGGCCTTACACGGATGCATGCTGATACTACATAGATTTCTCCACCATTTAATGGATGCTATCCTACATACAAACTTTATTCTTTAAATACTCTATCCATTTAAAACGCCATCTAAATTCGTAGCGTTGTTTTAAAGATTTAAGCGTACATAGGGCTAAAGGGACAGAAAAAGCGACTTTGTTTTATACTATGTAGTGATCTATACTAATATTATAAAGAGGTAAAATTTGTAAGTTTGTATAAAGGGGGGTAACCTTTGGAACCGCTGGTCGGATTTCCAAAATTCTTTCACTGATAGATAGCAACAATGTTCCTGAGTGCTATAGGCTATAAAACATCACGCTATGATCAAATGCAGCCGAGCAGCGGGTGAAACCGCGCGAGAGTAGCTAGTGTGAAATAAAATATATACATATATGCTCTGACTTTCTATTGTTTAAGACTTATTTATTAGAAATGTAAACAGAATTCCCCTTATTACAAAACAAAGTTTATCTTTAGTCCAGGTTTAAACCATTGAGTCGGGTTTTGAATTTTGAATCTTATTGTTATCTACCTTCAATTCGAAATACGAAAACTGGCTCAATGGTTTAGTCCTAGACTAAAGTAAAACCTTGTTTTGTAATTAGGCCGAATGTATTTAAACAAAGAATCTTGTGAAAATGCGACGCGTTCTATATTCCACGCTCGACTGGTTGTCAGAGGAAAACACATTGTTAACTCACATGTTTACAATTCTTTGTAAATTATATAAATAAACACTTTGCCGATACAAATGTCAACTGTATGGAAACTAGGATAAAGAGATATGCAACCTTATTTACTGCTTAACAAAAGGTTGTTAAAAGTAAATGTAGCTTAAACCGTGTGTGTAAAAGTGTAGGAGAGCTATGCTTTAGCCCGAATAGGTCGGCTCGACCGGATTGAAGTGACAGCCTTACAGAAAACCGGCGTGAAACAACTTCTTAGGACAAAGACTTATGCCCGGTTCCTATATTTAACGAATCGTCGTTGTATACGCATTACGACCAAATGACATTACGAATAGTTATCTTGACCGTCTACTGACGGTTAAATTTTTATAGGAACACCACAGACACCATAGATCTCCATACAATTCGCTTACCGACATCCGTTAGTTGCAAACCGTCAGTAAGTTGCACGACGAGACGTTTGTTATAGGAACGGTTTTAACTTACGAGTCGTATATAAAACTACTATTCGTAACTAAAACGGATCGTTTCTCAATTATAGGAACCGGGCATTAGGTACTAACGTGATTTAATTGAGGAAAGCTCGACGAGTTTCGAGTCACAACGGGACTCTTATTCAAGCTCAGCGTACACACGTTATACTTTTTTTTATAAAACATTGTCCCTCACTATGCATACTCGTGATTGCTCCCTGCCGTGTCGTGAGTAACTAACGCACCCAAACAACCTTTTGTGGATCATACAAAGGTTGATCTGTGTGGTTTACGCCGTCGTCGCCGCCGTTTAAGTTAGCCGATTAGCTGCGCAGTACACAATTCTGTTCCTAAAACATCCATTGCGCAGAAAAAACGGCTAACTTCAGACTCGCCACATACGTCGGACGTATAGTAACTACCCAGCCACTTCGTTAGCCATCTACTCTCTGTTCTACTCTGTTATATATATTATAATTTTTTTGTGAGGGAAAATCATCCAAAGACTCTCGGGAGGGAGCGCTTACCCCGCAACCTCAGCTGAATATATATTGTACTTAGCGCTTATTTATTTTTACTTTACTTCACACATACATACATAATAGATGAAGACACATAAGGTAGACTTAATGTCATATTGCCCAAATATTCATAACTATCCCAGAGAGGTTACAGAGGCCACTTTTCGTTGTACCGTTATAACTCAACAATGCCCTTACCGATTTGGCTAATTTTGGTCTTGTGGTATTATTCTTGAAAGTCCAGAAAAGGTTTGTAGGTACGTAGAGAAAATTAAAAAAAAAATAATCTCTGAAATGTTCAAAATCGACATCGATGCGGGCGGAGCCGCAGGCGACCGCTGTGTAGTTATACATATACATGCAACATTATATAAAAGACTTACCTCTTCCTCTAAAGCTACAGGGAACTGCGCAGGAGTCAGTGGTTTGACCGCTACGTCTTCAAGCGCTGATTTACGCCTGCAAGCAAAGTAAATTAGGTTGTATATATTTAAAAATAAGGTTAATAGTCCGCTATAACGAGCTACGAGAGGTCTTTGCAAAAAGAAAATACAAGTTTGTGGTGGTCCGGAGGATAAGGCTTCCGCTTCTCATGCATTAGACACTTCCTGTGCACTAGTATTTTAGTATAGTAGTTTTAGTTATTATTCCATTATTACATTTATAGTATTTTTAATTTTCAATATGAAATTAGTATGACTACACGGTTGGAGCGTTGGCTGGCCAACTGGCTACGGCGCAACGTGTCGCGTGTTCGAATCCTGCACGAAACAATTCTTTGTGTGATCCGCAAATTGTTGTTCCGTGTCTGAGTGTGATGTGTATGCGAAATTGTATGTTTGTAACCGCGTCTACGATACAGGAGAAAATCCTAGTGTAGAGCCAAGTTTAAAAAAAAATATATAAAATAAATATATACCTATATTTGCCTTCGATGCCTGAAATAAATAATGTTAAAAACCAATGAAGGTGCGGGGTTGATATTTAGCAACTACCAATTTTTTTCAAAGTATTGTGTGCTATTTAAGTTTAGTAGTATTTAGATACCACTGACAAACGGCGAAAGAAAACATCGGGAAGAAACCTGGCCTTCAAATTAAAATATATAAGTATGTAATCACTAATTGTGTATGTGCCCACTGCTGAGCAAAGACCTCTTCTCACACGGAGAAGGTTTGAGCGTTAATCATCCGCCTTAAGCAAGCGTGGCGGTCTACTGCAGCATTGAATTTAGGTAGTTGGAAAACACGCTATGTAAAGTCGTCTGTCTAAATCAAATTTTAAGAAAGGAATTTTATTTATATTAGTCTTTTATTGTAATAAAAATATGACTGCATCTAATATACATATATTAATCCTAATACTTCCTTATTATATAGAACCACTAACTAATCATCAAACAGGGTTATCCCTTCGGGAACGGACAGCTGCACAATGAATTTTTCAAACTTGATAAGAACGTTTATAAACCACTAACTATAAGAACAGGTCGTCACATGAACATGAAATCGTAATTGCTATTGAATCATCGGCTTCAAGTTATATTTTTGCTTGAGTGTTGTCGAGTCAATGACCTCGTATGCCAGGTGAATGTATCATTATGATCGAGGAACAGATTATCCATTGCGATTCCATTATTGCATCTTCTTATATATAAAAATGGATCGCAAAATGTGTTGTAAGCGCATAACTCAACAACGCCTGGACCAATTTTGCTAATTCTTTTTTTGTTGTGTTTGTTATTCTCAGGAGAAGGTTCTTATCAAAGAAAATATTAGAAAAGTAGAGGGGAATTTTTTTTGATAGTGAGATAGTTGGACCCGTGCGAAGCGGGGGCGGTCCGCTAGTTACAATAATAGTTAGTTTAGTTTAGTTAGTTACAGTTACAATTTAAAGGGTGAGGAGAGAAGGGATGTCTTAGTCTTACTGACAAAAACCACCCAGATCCTTCTCCTGCTTCAGGCCAGGCCTTCGGTACCTTATTGCACTCACCCTGCAACCCCGACTGAACATCAGCCCTAAAGGGCTCCGTCTGTGGTGGTCTATTGGCTTTTTGAGGCGCGCGCGGAACGCTACGTGCCGTACGCTCGGGTAAACACTTATCCTTAGAAGGCCATCTATGTATACTTGTAAACTCCTTTGATGTTGTGAGTGTTCATGGGCATTTTTTCTTTCTATCAGGTATTCTGTCTACGCGTTTGTTTTTATATTTGTTTGTAACTATGCGTTTATCTACGCGAGACACATGTGTTTTCTATTTTGTCGTATATACCGGTAGACAAGAGGTTAATTACATAAAAAAAAACATACACACCTGACCGAGGTTAGTTCACATGCACCTAATTTTCTATATATACAAAAGAAAGTCGTGTTAGTTACACTAGTTATAACTCAAGAACGGCTGAACCGATTTGGCTAAAAATTCTTAGAGAGGTAGCTAAGAGCTGGGAGAAGGACAAAGGATAGAGAAGGTAGTGTAAGTTAGGTAGGGTACGGTAGAGTAGGGTAGGTAGAGTAGGGTAGGTGAAGTAGGGTAGGCAAAGTAGGGTAGGTAGTCAAATGACGGGAGCGACGCCGTAGGTAAGAGCTAGTTATTATTATATTTGTTTAATTAACCACCTCTTTTTAGGCATCATAAAAACATTCCAAATACTATAGACTATTAAATTAATATTTATAAATACTATACTATACAAAACAACAAGACAATAGAGTAGGAATAACTCAATAAATACAATCTAATCTCACCATACAAATCTCCATCATAAAAACTAAATTACCATAGCAAATCAAATTATATTCGAATGGGGTTATAAAAGCTCTGCTGTCCATCTAATGTGTGAGGGGATGAAGATTAATAGAGCCATCAAGTGGTAGCAGTTAAGGCTTTGATATGGATCCAATTGGACCGCTCGGATCATAAATAAGAATCACTTTGTACACTGTACAGTGATCTTATAAAGACTAGATGTGACAGTACGTTGAGAGAATTTTAAAGACTTCTACAGTCTGTGAACAGAATGATCGGAATGCTTTCGGGTTTTTGAAGATATCATGCCTGATATTCTTGAAGGAATAGACAGAAATGCAGCCTTTGAATAAAGACATTAGGCACATTTTTCTAAAACATTGTTTTTGAAAACAAAATATTTTGTTTAAAAACGCTTGTGAGCATGTTTTTTACTCTTTCACGTCGAAACTAATGGAAAAGACAATGTCCAAATTGGCCCTGTGTAATAAACAGAATCTGAATACACTACAATTAATGGTCTATTTTATTATTTAAGTTGCCAACATTTTCTAAGCACGAGCAAGCTTTATTCAAAAATGTGCATTTAATGGTATTTTAAATGACTAAGAATATTAGTAGTCGCCATCTTTGCTGGCAACTGGTAGCTATAGCTGGTTTCATAGCTAGGTATACTGTTCAAAAGCTCACAAATTACGCTATCATTTGTGATAGTTATTTAGCTTGGTTCTTAAAAATTATAGAGAGCTTTGAGTAGTTACACTTAAAATTCGTTATTATGGTTAAATTATAACCTCAAAATTACTGATTCTTTTTTTAAATTATATTTACTCTGTAGCTAGTCCGCTATAAAAATAAAATCGTATAAAATTTTACTAATGATAGAGACTACAATACATATTATTCTGATATTCTCAGCTCCAGGGCCAACCCTGGAGGAACGCAAAGCAATGTTCTTTGGCACCGAAATGGATGTTAGTTTGAAGTATGTTACTTTTTTATCGAGGATTATGGGAACATAAGATTTGGGCCAGCGATAACTACACTTGCGTGTAGTTATCGAAAAAAGAAAACTTGTGGTTGTTTCACGGCTATTTTCTGTGAGGTCTTGGTATCACTTAAAACTTCTATATAGAAGAGCAATATAGTCTGCTGAGGAATTCTAAACGCTGCCAACAATGAAAATGCACTGTAAACTAATTTTGAAATAGTTTGCAATTGTCGTTTAGGAACGTTTAAGTCGAAACTTTGGAACGAGCAAATAGCTTCACTAGAGGACAGACGGACAGACTGACATGCATAAAGTTAAACCTCTTAAAATAATCATTTTCTTCTTTTTGCTTTACGTTCAAAAGTGCCTTCTGTGGTCTATTTGAAATGAATGATTTTTGACTTTTTTTTAACTACGCTCCCATCGACCACTTCCAGTTACACAGAATCCTTGTAGGGAGATATTTGGACATCTTTTGTCAGCTTAATGTCTCCCCGATTCCCATAGTAAATGCCGCAAGTGTTGATTACATTACTGCTATATTATATAATTATGTCCATTGGTCAACTGAAACATTTCGTAGTCATTATTAGATCGGCAAACGAGCAGACGGATTACCTGATTGTTAGCTATCGGCGACGCCCATGGACGCAACCCCGGAGGAGTTGCGAATGCATTACCGGTCTTTTGGGGTAAAGGGTTTCTGAGATTTATGGATTGGGGTGGGAGGAACAAGTAGAAAGATTGGGCCACCCATTACGTGACTCACACGGCGAAGCCTATTAAACAGTCTGCCAGAAGACTTGAAGAGTGGAACAAAGAGAAATATGAGCACTAATCATTACGCTTGCTCAAGGGTGATTTGTGATTTTAACTTTCAAGCAGTTTCCTTACAGAGTTTTCCTTCACCATTCTGTCAGTGATGTTTGAATATACTTAGTAGTACACGTAACTTTGAAAAAGTTACATGTCACTGTTTCTTGCAAGGTTTTGGACCTGCACCTTTATGCATAAGAAGCCGGAGCCGTGGCCACCACGACATCATATTATTAATGTGTGTATTTATAAGATGCTATTTACCTCAGAAGGATGATCTTGAAGACAGGCCCCACCAGTCCCTTGATGATAGCTGATGCGTTCAGGTGACACCTTCCGTGGAGGACTATGCCGTTGACCTGAAACAAATTAAGACTCGTATGAATACATTACTCCATAGTATAGACCAAAGTCGCTTACCGCCGACTGTTATTGTTTTAAAGATATGTAGAATGATTCAAGAGGATGCATTAGGTATATATTTTTATTTATTAAAGTTTCTGGACGAAGTCACGGGCAGGAAGCTAGTCAACCATCTTTCCCATGCCTGAAATTCCAGCCAATAGGCTAGGTATTCAATTCATTTCAGACTTCTCTCGAGGGTGTGCCAAACTCCTAAAACCCACCCCGTTCCTTTTCCTTCTCCAGGCCGAGGCAGAGCCCAAAGCCTTGCCTTATAAAGCAGCTCTTAAATATAAATCTAGTTGTCTTTTAGGTACCAATTTCTTTTCCAAGGAACATACAAAACTATACTTATTTCTTCCAAACACACACACATGCAAGCAAAGGTCGGTACCCTATCCCCAACGCAGTGCATGGCAACCCACGTGCCAGCTGTCACGGCATTGACAAGACCCTGTCACGTTACGAATAAATGTGACAATTATACATACATACATACATACAATTTGCATGTTCATACATTTTACATTGTCCCTCGGTTTACAATGCAAACAATGTTTAGATTTTATATGAATATATGTATTGTTCTTTTTTATGATAATCATATTCAAATACAATATAAAAATGTTGATAAAATATGTATTTACAATTACAAAAATAATTAAAACTGGCGCAGTCTATGAAAGAAGCGCCTGATAAAAATATTATAGCAATTTACAAATTGTACTATTTGCTCCTCACAAAACGTAAGGCACTCCACGTTATTGCAGGATTATCTAATAATAATGTTCACCCAGTTGTTAATCTGTTTATGTTTCACTAATTTCTACCATACACTTTTTGAGTATGAAGTTATTATTGCTCCTTAAGGTAAGCACTGAAATGGATGGATAATAACAAATACATAAACTGCAAAATTGATAAATTTTCCTACCAAACTTATATTGAACGCAAATAAATAATATATAGATGCAACGCACAAAAATAGAATATGAATGAATGAAATGAATGTCGTGGTGGCGCAGAGGAGGGTTCGAAACCTAGCAAGTACCAATGTGACTTTTTCCGAGTTACATGTACTTTCTATGATTATTAAGACACCACTGACATACGGTGAACATCGCGAGGAAACCTGGACTTATAATTCCTAAATATAAGTTTGAAATCGCGAACCCGCATTGAGCAAGCGTGGTGATTAATGCTCTAACCTTCTCCGTATGAGAAGAAGCCTTTGCTTAGCAGTGGGCACTTATAGGCTAATGATGATGATGATGATGAAAAGGAGAATATTGGTATTGGCCTTTATCAAAATAGTACTAGAGGATACGTAGTCAAAAAGTCATAGAAGAACACGAACTTAACCTTTTTTAAACCTAATCCTTTCTTTTGCTACCGTTAAGCTAATTACCAATTCCAATTCTCTTCACTGTCTGTCTTACAATGACCTATCTCTGCTTTTACTGATAATAACTAGGCATTCTTTTGAACGAAGAGATTGCAAGAAAGGACCTCGTTTATTCCGTTCCTTGGTAAAGGGTTGGCTATTTAGATTCTGAATTGAACATTATGTATGTGCAGATCAACGTATAATTGTCGTTAGCTATCTGTTGATGGGATCTCTCTTTAATATTTTTAGGATTGTTTTTATTTTTTTCATAATATTTGTATAGGAGAGCCATGCTTCGGCACGAATAGGTCGGCTCGACCGGAGTGATATAACAGCCTAACAGGAATCCTGCGTGAATCAACTACATTGTTGTTTCGAAGATCCAATCATCTCTTCCTCCTATCCCCAATCCTAAAATCTCAGAAACCCTTATCTCCAAAAGTTGTTACTTTTATAGTATTGCAGGTATTCATGGGCGTGGCCGATTGCTTACCATCAGGTAATCTGTGTGCCTACCAGATAAAAAACAAATAACTAGACCACCTTCAATGTTTCTAAAAGAAAGAAAATATTTGATTGGCAATAAAATGTGAACACAAATCTGTAACAATTCATGTGTTTCGTTTGAGATAATGTTTCAATCGTAGCGCGTTACTCTTGAATAGATTCCATCTTGTTGCGGCTTGGGGGCCGAGCTTGGTGACGAGCGGAGCGGACGCGGAAGCGAATTACAATAATTATTTTTAGATATTTTTTATTGAGTTACAGATGTTTTTTTTCTGAGAGTTTCACTTGCTCTTTAGTTTCTGGGTGATCGTTACTTTTGTGCTTGAACTGTGGCTTGAAATGGATGACTAGCGCTTTAACGATAGTAGAGAAATACTCCATTTCAAGAAATAAGAGTTATACATTGAAAAAATCTAGATGAAGTCGGCATTTCCTATCTGATAACACTGAGAAGAAATATCGAAACAAACTCAAAAGTCTGTTATAAGTCCAGACAAGTGTAAAAATAATGTGTGAGAACCGAGCAGTGTATGTTTCTTTTTGATTCTTGTGATCTTTTTCTTATTCCGAAGGCCGTAGATAGTTTAAGCTCTTCTGTTTTCTTTAAATTCGCCATCACGGTTTATTTCAATGTTTTGCATCTTGCAACGTTGTAGTTGTTCCTTTTCTTAGCTAATTTCTTATTCAATCTGATGTTTTTGCGTAGTAACTATCATAACCTCAAAAACTACTGTTCTAAACTTCTAATAAATCGTGATATAATCAGTTTTGTAAACAAAAAATTTCATAAATTATTTCATTATTTCTTGTCTGCCAGTATATGCTAAACAATAAAAAACACATGTCTATCTTGGATGCGCGTTCCGGCATAATTATCACGGGTCAATTCTTACATTTCCGTAATATTTTTTTTTTACGAAAAAGTAAAACTTAATGAAAAAATCCAAGCGTTTTTAAATCGCACCGCTACCATCTCCGCTCATGTCAGTACACAGCTTCAGTTGGCTAGCAGCCAACACACAAGTAACACGCGCCGGTAATTTATGTAAATATATCAACAGCGTTGCACTCCATCATTATATTTGTAATTGTTTGCTTCGTTACATCAATTGATTTGTTCTTTACACAGTTTAGAAAGAGTTCTAGTCTGTATTTTTTTTTTGTTTTTTTCGATCAATCCGTTAACCTGATGGTAAGCAATCTATGGACCGCAGCACCAGAGGAGTCACAAGTGTTTTGCTAGCCTTTTGGGGATAAGGGTTTCGTGAGATTTAGAGTTTAGGAAGTAGTACGGCACCCACACGGCCAAACACAACGCTGTGGTTGTTTCACGTTGGTTTTCTGCGAGGCCGTGGTATCATTTCGGTCGAGCCAATCCTTTCGTGCCGAAGCATAGCTATCTCAAGATGTAGTGCGTCTTTTATTTTGTTTATTTTTGCTTGGTATAGTGTAGTTAAAGAACCGACGGATCACTAATAGAAGTCATAGTCACAGTTCATAGACAATGGCAACACCAGTGATACTAAAATTATGTTGTCGGAATTTTAGGCTGGGGCTTAGAGATTCGGGAATATGGGTTGAGCCTCTGATGTGTAAAACGGCGAAACTCATGGCCTCACATGTGAAATGTCGTATTTCTGTAAGGCCGTGGTACTCGTATTACTCTGAGGCCCATTCGTGCCGAAACTTGGCGAAGTAACTACGAAAAAATGGCGTGTCTCGCTCCGAATGAGGTGATCCTGTTACATCTTTGCTCAGAGATGGGGGTCACTGTAACATTGCTCTTCACCGCAACCTCGTCCGAACAAGTTAAGAAAGATTGAGCTGAATCACCCGCAACACCAGAGATGCTATAACATGTTTAGGGATTCGGGATGAGAAATTTGGGTTGAGCCTCTGATGTGTAAAGTCATGGCGAAACACGCGGCTTTGCTTAAATAGTACGATTTGAAACGTCGTATTTCTTCAAGGATGTGGTATTACTCTGGTCAAGCAGGCCCATTCGTGCGTTGTCTGCTCTGAGATGGAGGTCACTGTTACATTGCTCTTCACCGCAACCTCGTCCGAACAAGATGATAACGATTGAGCTGAATCATTTAGTTTATAATTATAAAGTGGGAATATAGGAATGACCCCTTTGTACCGTATTACTAAACAAAAACTATTAAAATTGATTGCCCAATTTGTTGTACCACCATTTCGATATTTAACAAGCGCGTTAGTATTGATACACATTTACATTCTAGTTTATAGCATCGAAAATAATAATCTCACGTGCATTCAGAGCCAGAATATTCGGGAATAGTTTAATAGTGAGTTGCCGATATCTATTATTGCTGTCTATGCGAGAGATGGGGATTGAGGAGCATCTGTGCCGTCAAGGAATGCAAACCAAACGGTCAGTTGATCGTTTAATGTTATGACGAACTGTGAACGAGATAGGTGAATATAATTTAAAAATGGATATTGGTGTCGAATCAAAATACAATCTACTAGCAACTCTCGCGCGTTTCACCCGCTGCTCGGCTCCATTTAATAGTAGCGTGTTATTTTATAGCTTATAGAATGCAGGGACATTGTAGCTATCTATCAGTGAAAGAATTTTGGCAATCCGACTAGCGGTTCCAAAGATTACCCCCTACATACAAACTTACAAATGTTACCTCTTTATAATATTAATATAGATATGTTTAACGTCATAATGTTGATTTTAGTAGATTTTTGAAAGGTGTATTTACAATATATTAAGTTAGTAGTGAGTTTTTTTTACATTATTTATAATATTTCAGTGCAAAATGATTTTTTTATATTTTTCCCAATAAACCGCCAATCGTAAGCGTTACCTAAAGGTTAAGTATTGCCGCCGCCCATGAACACACGAAATGCCAGAGGAATCACAAGTGCGATTCCAGTCTGTGCATGGTGGATGGCGTCCTGGGCAACTCAAACAGAGAAAAACAAGGCAAGCGTTGATTCACACCTGTCTATGAAGCCTTAGCCATAATACCTTTACGGTCATTTGTGCCAAAGAATGTCCCTCCATGTATTTTATGCAACTAGGTCGTTTTTATTATTTATTTTTTATGTAACAGTTCGGCAAACGAGCAGACGGATTACCTGATGGTAAGCAATCAGCGCCACTCATGGACATCCGTAACAGAGGAGTTACGAGTGCGTGGCCGATCTTTTAGGGATTAGGGTTTTGGAAATTAAGGGATTCGGGAGAGATCGGGGGAGGGTAAAGATTGGGCCTCCGGTAACCTAACTTACACGGCGAAATACAGCACTGTGGTTGTTTCACGCCGATTTTCTGTGAGGCCTTGGCTGTAGAGTGTTCCTAGCGAAAGCTTTTCATTGCTAGTTCTTTCTCAAATCGAGTGTTTAATATAAGAAAATTGTTTGAAAAAAAGTAAGCGTACGTGTTCCAGGCTATAATCTAAGTTTATCTATCCAGCTAGGTCGTAGGCAAGAGTAAGTACGAGGTTATTTGATGTTTCGAATGTTAGACATTTAAAAACCAATTTAAAAGTAGTGCGACCACGACCTAAAATACATTTTAAAATCAGTTTAATATTTCCAAACAACCTATTTAATCCTACGCACACATAAATACGCCTCGGGCACAGATCAGGAGGGACCCCTGCAATCCCTACATAATCCTACCAACGTGATTCTCAAATTATACAACTGCTATTGATCTCCTTGAGAATGGAAACGTGGCACGAATCCCGAATACTTCATATTCTACCAAATTCCGTTATCTGAACTGACACTGAATATGTAGACTAGTTTTTCGGTCATAAATTTACATGAAAATCTGTATTTTTTATCGAGTTGTACATGCGAACGAACAGTCGTATCACCTGATGTCAAAATATGTTATCAGCGCCATCTATGAACACTCTCCACAAAAGTGGAGTTACAAGTGAGTTATTCGCTTTATAAAAAAAAACTAGCGACCCGCCCCGGTTTCGCACGGGTGCTATGCTGATACTAAATTTCTCTACTAAGAACTTAATGCATAGCATAACTTAATACATATAAAACATCCTCTTCAACTACTCTGTGTATTAAAAAAACACGTAAAATCCGAAGCGCAGTTTTAAAGATTTAAGCGTACATAGGGACATAGGAATAAAGAAAGCGACTTTGTTTTATACTTTGTAGGCCTCTTCTTGAATTTTTGGAAGGTAGGATCGTTTGCGAAAAATCGCAGGCGATAGTCAATTTTATAGTTGTTGCACTAGACAGAAAATGCAGTGTTGTGCACACCAATACATCAGTTTTATAAACCAACTATTTAAATAATAGGGATGACATTATCAATTAGTCCTTACAAACTCTCGGAACACTCTTTGTGTAGTTATCATAAATTAAAATGACACTCAATCGATGAGCATGCATAAAGATACTGACGAATGTAGAAGAAACAAGAAGATTATAGCGGAAAAGTATCACTTGGCGATATTTGCCCTTCGTGTAGTGGTGGCCCTCCACTGATACATGAGGGTGCGGGTTCTAAACTTGTCAAGGTACCAATGTGACTTTTTCTAAGTTTAAATATGTACTTTCTATGATTATTTTATTATAAAGGAAAACCTAGACTTATAATTTCCGCATTTATCGCCTTGAGCAAGCGTGGTGATTGATGCTCAAACCTTCTCCGTGTGTGAAGAGGCCTTTGCTCAGTAGTGGGCACTTATAAGCTGATAATGATGATGATGAAGTGCTTTTCATAGTTTAGGCGAAAAATTTTTACATATGATAACTTGATTAGGCCAAAGTTGCGGCCGCAAACGCCATAAGGTATAGTGGCCTCAGCAAGGAGCGAAAGAAGGAACGGGGCTGTTCTTAGTCAGAAAGAGTCTGGCACTCTCTCTCACTCCACCAAGAGCCAGAGAAGTTGATTGATTATATTTCGCGTCAAAAACAAATACATATTAATTATAGTAGAAGAAGAAAGAAACGCTATTTATTTTTTTACATTTTGATCAGTAACAATCTATACTTCTATACTAGTATAACTCTGTCTGTCTGTCTGTCTATATTTTCTTCACACCTAAACTACAGAAACGATTTCTGTGAAATTTCGTACAGACATAGTTTGGAACTCGAGAAAGGACATAGGATAGTTTTTATACCAAAAATCTGCAAGAGGCCAATGTTCCACGCGAACGGAGTTGTGGGCAAAAGCTAGTATCTAACTGTATAAGAATGTTCTTAAACATAAATATTTCAAGTAAATATGGTAATTATACCAATCAAACTGCATCAATACGATACTGATTCAATGACGTTACAATTTCAATGCGTTCATCTTGGTACATTTACTCTGTGGGAGATCCAATCTGAAACCTAGGTATGGATATTAAATTACTTATGTACAATTACGTACCTATTTGACTAGATGAAAAATATATTATTTATATAATGTTTTTTTATTTTTTTTATTTATTTAATAGATCGGCAAACGAGCAGACGGATTACATGATGGTAAGTAATCAGCGCCGCCCATGGACACCCGCAACGGAGGAGTTACGAGTGCGTTGTCGACCTTTAAGGGATTAGGGATTTGGAGAATTAAGGATTGAGGAGGGATTGGGGGTGGGAAAAGATTAGGCCTCCGGTAACCTCACTCACACGGCGAAACACAACGCTGTGGTTGTTTCACGCCGGTTTTCTTTGAGGCCGTGGTATCACTCCGGTCGAGCCGACCCATTCATGCCGAAGCTTGGCTCTCCCACACTTTATTATTTAGAATTACCGAATAAATTATTTAAAACTAGGTTCCACCTGCAGGCACGCCTATAAAAGTCATCTATCCTGGGGCTATCGCTTTGAAAACAGCAGCTTTCAAAGCGATAGCTCGACGGAAATACGCAAATCAATATGTTTAATTTAAATATCAGAAGTTAAAAAGTATAAATCTGTCGGTCTGTCCTCTATTGATTATATTTGTTACTAGTTACTCTTGCGCGGTTTCACTCGCTGCTCTGCCATTATAGGTGGTAGCGTGATATTTTATAGCCTATAGCACTCAGCATCTATCCGTGAAAGAATTTTAGAAATCCGTCTAGCAGTTCCAATTCCCTTACATCATCATCATCATATCAGTCATAGGACGTCCACTGCTGAACATAGGCCTCCCCTATTAACTTCCAGGTAGGCCGGTTGGTAGCATCCAGCGGCTTCCTGCGACCTTAATCAAGTCGTCGGTCCACCTTGTGGGTGAACGTCCTGCGCTGCGCTTGCCGGTACATACAAATTCACATAAATCTTTATAACATTTAGTACTGGCGAGAAGAAACCATTGTATTTCACAGTTTGAGTGAGGTAACAGGAGGTCAAATCCAACCATCCCTCCCCCAATCCCTCATCTCCAAAAAGCCGGACTCCAACTCCAACTGTTGCGGACTGCGCCGATTGGTTACCACAAAGTAATCAGTCTGCTCGTCCGCCGACCTAACGCACAAAAACAAAAGAAAAATGCTACTTTTTGCCCTGGTAATAGGGGCGAAATTACTAGTAGAAGCTAGATAACAATAAAAGCTAGTATTTTTTTCTTAAAACACACAATATCTAGTCTATTGTTCTTGTACAGTTCGCGGCAAGACCACTAGAGCAGCCATATTGGTTAGCGCCCTGCTTTCATCTTGATCGCTGTTATAATCGGTTCCGCCATGACAGTTTTGTATTGTTTCCGATTTACTTTGAAACTTTGTGTATGAAGTGTTAAGAACGCTACGGTGTAATTAAGATTGTAATTATATTTTTAGTTTTCTGTAATTTAGAATGCATCGGAGTATCTTCTCAGAGTATAGTAAGACAGTATGTGTCGCCTTTATCTTGATTTTTTATATAACTTCGACGTCTTACCTATCTGTCTTGTGGCAAAGTAACTAAAATACATTCATTTTTTTATTGATAATCCAAATGATACAATAATAAACGTAAGACGCAGTATGATCATGAGTGTTATTAATTAAATTAAACTATTTGCTTGCATGGTATAATTCGCCTGACATAATACATGACATTTACTCATTAAATCAACGTCAGTCAACCTTGATAGCACGGTTGGTGCGGTGGCTGGGCAATTGGCTGCCGTGCAACGTGTGGCGGGTTCGATTCCGATTGGAACAACTCTTTGTGTGATCCACAATTATTGTTTCGGGTCTGGGTGTTATGTTTATGTGAAATTGTATGTTTGTAACCGAACCCACGACACAGGAGAAAGTCGTAATATGCGGCAATGTTTTTTTAAGAAAAGAAAAGAAAAAATAAAACCTGAATGACTAGCTGTTTGATCGACATTCACAGACATACACGACTCTTTAAAGCGATTAGTTCAAAGGCTTTTATGGAAGTCAAACTTGTAACCAAAAGAAATTACCATCACAAATGAGCAGTTCACAAAAACCAAGTTACAGAACAGATACTACTAAGCCTAAACGTCCTTACTTAAAACTCTCCTCACAAAACAAAACACAATTTATAACTACCTAACTTCAAAACTCTAATATTTCTAAACAACACAAAGTGAACATAATAAATAATTATAAATTCATCTAAATCTAAAACTCTCAACATCCAAATATACCTTATTAAATTAGACATAAGATTTATATTTCCCGACGTTTTAACAAAGTATGTGTTAATTTGGAAAGTTAAATTACTTGCTCGAAGAAGGTACCTGTCTACCGACCTACCTAATATATATGTATCTATCTATATTATATAGTATATAGACAGTAGACGATCTCACAACTAATTACGTACTGCCTACGTTTCCTCTAATTTTATTATTTTTATTACCCCTTTTTTTCTTTGTGAGGGGAAAATTATCAAAGTACTTCTCCCGCCCAGGGCCGGGCGGGAGGGAGTGTCAGACTCTTACTGACTAAAAACCCCCCTGTTCCTTCTCCTGCTCTGTGCCGAGGTCGCGGTGCCTCATTGCGCTTACCCCGCAACCCCGGCTGAACATCAGCCCTTTAGGGCCCCGTCTGTGGTGGTCTATTGGCTCTTTGAGGCGCGCGCGGAACGCTACGCGCCGTACGCTCGGGAATTTTATTACCCTTTAAAGTTATATATTTTACGAATTTCCCTGTTTTATCTATACTAATAATTATTATAAAGAGGTAAAATTTGTAAGTTTGTATGTAGGGGGTAATCTTTGGAACCGCTGGTCGGATTGCCAAAATTCTTTCACTGATAGATAGCTACAATGTTTTCTGAGTGCCATAGGCTATAAAACATCACGCTGCGATCAAATGGAACCGCGCGAGTTTAGCTAGTCCATGTATAACTTGACTGTTCAGTTGGGTGGCGTTATTTGCTGCGTATTCGTTTGCTTACCATCAGGTAATAATCTTGCTGATGTTAAATCACATCACGTCAGACTATAAGTGCCTACTGCTGAGCAAATACCTCTTCGCACACAGAGAAGGTTTGAGCATCAATCACCACGCTTGCTCAAGCCGGATTGGCGATTTCAAACTTATGATTAGAAATTATAAGTTCAAGTTTCCTCACGATGTTTCCCTTCACCATCTGTCAGTGGTGTCTAAATAATCATAGAAAGTACAGTCAGCTCCAAAAGTCGATGAACAGAATCAACTTACCATAACAACTGTTCAGAATAAAACGCCATAAGTTATAGTCGCAACTAGGAAACAAAAAAGCCTGTACACCAGAAATTTACAAAGTACACACGACTAATTCAAAAGTATCTGTGCACTATAGTATTCCTAAAGTCGCTGTACACCTTCAATCCAAATGTCGCTGAACATCATTGTATCAAAAGTCACTAAACAGCAGTAAAGACAAAGTTAGGTTAACAAAGTATATTTTTAATGTTGCCCTGTGTTAATATACTTTTGACGCTTATGTTGTTCAGCTACTTTTGGGACAGTGTTTGCTAAAACTTAATAATGTATGTTAACACGTTACTATCTACATATTTCAGGTTAGATACTTTTGATTTAGATAGTCGTGTGTAACGACTTTTGTAAATTTCTGGTGTACAGACTATTTTGTTTCCTAGTTGCGACTATAACTTATGGCGTTTTATTGTGAACAGGTGTTTTGGTAAGTTGATTCTGTTCATCGACTTTTGGAGCTGACTGTACATATAACTCGGAATAAGTCACTATGGTACTTGCCAGGTTTCCAACCCTCATGAATCAGAAGCGGGCTTCTCAATCTCCGGGCCACCATGACTACCACTAACGTTGATTTCATATCATCAGGTATTACGCTTGGTCAAAAACAATAAAAACTTGGTTCAAATCTCACCTCAAGAATCTCATCGCCGACTTTAACAGGTGGATTGGCCTTAGCAGCCGCGCCGGCTGGGTGAAGGCCACAAATGAACACGGCCATCCGGCTCCTGTCCCGGTGTCCAGCGAGACTGAGCCCCAGTCCACCACGAGGGGACCGCTCCAACCGGACCGACACCACCGTGTCGCCAAGACCTGCATACTTCTTGCGGATTTTATCTGGAAAGAAGAGAACAATTCATACTAAAAAATAAAGGTCTATTTATTGACGAAAATCATTTTTTTTTGCATCATATGACTTGTGTTCAAGTCAACTAATGATTGCCTCAATGAGATGGGGCCTAAACCCGGCCTCGGCCTGGAGCAGGATAAGGAACGGGGATTGGGGGTTGGATTATTAGTCAGAAAGAGACGCAGACACATCCTCTTGCCATACCCTGGGGGAGAGAAGACCTTTGAAGATCTTTCCCTCCACAAAAAAGTCAAATAAAGCTTATCGACTTCACCACCACGGTATAAATGTCTTATAATAATTGAATGACATACTTTTTTATTGTTTTTATCACTATTGTCATCATCGTCAGCCTATATTTGTATGCTAATATAGGAAGATGCTTAAAGTTAATTGGCAACTACTAATTAATTATTAAAAATAAAAATTTAAAGTTCTGGTTTCCTTACGGTGTATTTTTTCAAAGTTCGCCAGTAATATACATAACGTGGTTTCGAACCCTTATGTTTGACAATCTCCGGACTACAGTCATGACATACAGTACATATGAAAGACATAATTGAATAGAAAGACTTGTTGGTTTCACAGTTGTAATTATTCAATTGCGGTGCAAAAAAAATTTATCGACACCTGTTCCTTCATGAAATCTTGCCACGCATTGACTACCAAAACAAATGTCATAAACATCACAATCTTAAAAGAGCTATGAAAAACCAATGACTAATACCAAAAAAAATTCAAATCATGGGACAAAAATATCAAACAAAATAAAACGGCTATCTCAAAATATCTTAGTCAACAGACACGCGAACAACACCCACCTATAAGCATTGTTGTAATCAAAAAAAACTACAAATTGCATTTAAAAATTTCGACGCAATGTCTCTGTAGACTAAACACTATTATGCGACCGTCCAAACAAAAACACAGCATCGCATCTTTACTCCACTAGTGTAGGCAGATGTGTATAAATGTAACAACAACCGCAAAACCAGAGAAGTTACAAGTTACAAGCTGTCGCGCTTCTGCGGGTGTTTTATGTGATAGGACGGCAAACAAGCAGACAGATTACCTGATGGTAAGCAATCAGTGCCGCCCGATTGTTCGTCGGACAACTCAGCAGCACTAGCTATACTGGTTACCGAAACTGACACTTGCGTGCCTGTCTTCAGAACGGGTCCACTTAAACTGGTGTGGTTCTTTCCTCAAAAGACCACTACAGAATGAACTTGCACGGTTCTCTCACATTATGTTATTTTTACAGTGTCTGGATTTGAAAAGAGACTGACCTCTGAGTTTGTTTCGGCATTTCTTCTCAGAGTAGTCAGATAGGAAATGCCGGCTTCATCTAGTTTTTCACATATAAATTGACGTGTAAAAGTACCGTTTTATGGGCTATTTGCAAAAATAAATTAAAAAGCATTGTTTCATGGACATTCGCAACAACTGAGGAGTCATGAGTGCATTGCAGACCTTTTGTTTGGGCATTTAGGGATTGGGGAGGGGAAGGATTGGGCCTCGGTCACCACTTCCGGTTACCTCAAACGGCGAAACAACACTGTGTTTGTTTCACGCCGGTTTTCTATAAGGCCGTGGTATCACTCCGGTCGGGTCGACACATTCGTGACGAAGCTTGGCTCTCCCACACTTTGTTGAGTTGGGTTGTTAGAGATTTGAGAATTGGGATTTTGGGAGGGAAAGGACTAGGCTAGACTTTCACTTCACGAAACATAAATACCGCCATGTAGTGTTTTGTGGTATTGAATGCACATTACACTGTACGAATTTAGTATAGATACCCATACCTTCACGCATTGTTTTAGAAGTCATTGGATCAAACTTTTGAGAGACATGACACAAACCAGCAAACCTAATTTGAAATTGAAGCCAAGGCCTCTTGCTACCTGGCAATACGAAGCAAGCAGACAGGGAACCGCGGCCTCGGCCTAGAGCAGGAGAAAAAACGGAGTAATTTCTAGTCATTAAGAGTCTGACACTCCCTCTTGTCTCTGGTGAGAGAAGTCTCACTTGACGATTTTCCACCCTCTAAAAACCCATTGTTTTGGAAACTTGTTTTTTTTTATTTTATAGGTCGGCAAACGAGCAGACGGATTACCTGATGGTAAGTAATCAGCGCCGCCCATGGACACTCGCAACGGAGGAGTTACGAGTGCGTTGCCGACCTTTTAGGGATTAGGGATTTGGAGATTTAGGGATTTAGGAGGGATTGCGGGAGGGGAAGGATTGGGCCTCCGGTAACCTCACTCACAACAACGCTGTGGTTGTTTCACGCCGGTTTTCTGTGAGGCCGAAGCATGGCTCTCCCACGCTTAAAAGTACTTGTCTAAGAAACTTAGCTATATGTGTATAAATAGCGATCCTAATTTGATACCGAAGACCTCTTGCTCTTCCTCTGTTGTCACTGAACTTACAAAGGACCGAATCTAAACAAAACCTCAAGCAATAAATACAAAAGAATGAAACTACGCCGGTAGCGTGGGAATAAATCGTGTTAGTCGGCCACAGTCGCCCGAGGCAGGCCCCGTTTATGATCACTCGGGGAGCAGGAAACAATGGCAGTCAATTCCTAGTGCATTTTATTGGGGATTTGATCGATGGATCAAGTTTTCTTGTTGGTTACTGTTAGGGTTGTCAATGAAATTAACTGGCTGTGTTTTCTTTTTTATTTTTGTTGTAAGTAAACTGGTGATAGTATCTGATTTTTTTCTTCTTTAAATTCTAGAAGTTTTGTTTCTGACTGTATGACTACTTTACATTGCTTTATCAAATCATTTTGCACTAGCTTTTGCCTGCGACTCCGTGGAATAGAGGTTTCCTGCAGATTAATTTGGTATAAAAAGTATCCTTTGTAAAGGACAAAGGATACTTTTTCTTTATCTCGAGTTTCAAACTATGTCTGTGCCAAATTTCACAGATATCGGTTCAGTAGTTTCGGCGTGAAGAAAATACCGACAGAGATACTTTCGCATTTATAATATTAAGTATAGATTTCCCAATCGTCTATTTGGTCTTTTAGTAACAAGAAGACCTTTTAGTAACACGAAGAGACTGAAACTTTTCAGTTATATATGTGTTTCGAAGATTGATTTTCTAAAATTATTCTGTACAGTTGTAAACTCAGTTTTTGGTACACCTTATTTCTGCCACGTTTTAGGCACTACAAGTAGGTAAGTCTAACTGCAACTTAAAGCAGATAAAGAAGCAGAAAAAACGATAAAATATAACTATCCTATAATCCATCAAAAGTAGTCGTCACTTTAGTACGAAGCGCAAATTCGCGTCAATTTAAAACTCTGTGACTTGTTCAATCGTGGGAAGTGATCTGTGAGGCAGTTGTCAGTATAGCGAGGTTCCGTTTAAATTGAGTGTCACTTATACTGGGCCCAAATTGCCGTGATAAGGAGACCGCCTTTGTTCCCCACTCGTTTGGCTTGAAAAGTTTAACATCGCATCGGCTTTCTTTGAGAATTACGTTACCGACGAAAAGTTGAGTTCGGAATATTTTACACGTATTTTTGAAAATTAGCTCTTTTGTTTTTATGTTGAGATCGTTTTGTGTATCGTGTGAGGGTGTTTTTAAGTGCGTGTATTTTGTTATAAAATAAAAATGTGTATTACATATAGCCCTCAACATGATAATGAAAGTGACTTTCTTGAAAACATATACTTAATGCTTATACATACGAATTTAAATTTTGGAGCGAACACTTTTTTAAGCATATTGGTTTTTGAAAAGTGCCTATACATATATGGTCTAATTAAAAATGCTTTGACTTGGCCGATGAATGTTAAAATCAATTTAATCTCTTGTCAAGTCATCTGATTGGTTGATTGAATTATCAACAACCAATCAGATGACTTGACAAGATATTTAAAAGGAGATTAGTTAATTTTAGTGTTCACAAGCCTTTCAGAAACCGGGCGTTAGACTTAAACTATATTAGATCTAAAATTAATCAATTTATTTCAGGTATTTACATAATAATATTTGACTCTGACACATCACTGTCCAAAATTTGACTTATGTAACATCTCTCATTCTATAGGTATTTAACAGCAGCCATAAGATTTCCGCTGATGAACATAATCTTTTCCTAATAAATACAGCCACTTATCATCACCAAATCATCAGCGTAAAAGTAACCACTGCTAAGCAAAAGCATCCTCTCAGAGCAATAAATATGTATTAATCAACGCGGTTGCTCAAGGCGGATTGACGGTTGTTTATGCATGATAGGAGGCAATTACTCTTCACGCCACCACGACAATTAGTCAGCCCTAAAATGAGGAACAAAATTCAAGGGCACGACTCCACAAATCTTCACCAGACTTAGGCAAGGAGGCAGTAGGTCATCGCATCAACATAAGCAGTGTGCAGTTAACGACAGCTCACACACACATACATGGAAACAATAAATATAACGCGTTAGTGTTACATCGTTGTCATGTGACGTCGCGTATGATTGGACGGAAGGCGCAGTGAAGTAATACAGATTATGACAAAAAGATTAATCTATTTCAGCTGTGTGGTAAAGAACAGTTAAATTAAAGACCGTATGTCTTTAATTTAACTGTTCTTTACGTGGATTTCATAGGAGCAGACGACGGAATAATATTTTTAAAGGAGACTGGGTTGCAGCATTCTCTGATAGCTTCAAAGAGCTATTAGACCACTACAGATGGGGTTCAACAGAACTGATGTACAGCCAGGATTGCGTGATAAGGTATCGAGGCTTTGGCCTAGAGCAGGAGCAGGAACAGGAAGTTTTTGGTCAGTAAGAGTCTGATATGCCTTCTCGACTCATTCTGAGCGAAAGAAGACATTTGATGATTTTCCCTCCACAAAAGAGCATTTACTTCATTTCCCTAAAGAGCATCCCCTCAAATCTTCCTACATACCGTAGAGATTATTGTAACGCAATTGCACAAACGTCAAGTAGGCTCATTAACCAGCAGTCTTTAGTTCTTCCATTAATTCAAACAAACGGAAAAACAAAATAAACTCAAGGACAATATATTTAGATAGTTCAGAGCTGACTAGTCCTAACTGACGGCGCCCGTTCACGAACATGACACGTACTACACCAGCATCGTGTAATCGAGAGAATTGAGCGATCCAGTGCCCGTGTCATAGCCAATGAGACCTTTTAGTGGGAACGACAAGAAATTAGTCACTATAAAGATAACATTAAATCGAAGACAAGTCGTCGTTGTAGTGGCCCTGGCCTGGGGGTTAAGGCGGTTGGCTTCTCATGCATAAGGGTGCGGGATCGAAACCTGGGAAGTACCAATGTGACTTTTTCCAAGTTCTTTTTGCGTTCTAAGACACCACAGACATACAGCGAAGGAAAACATCGTGAGGAAATCTGGACTTATAATTTCTAATTATAAGCTTCAAATCACCAATTCACCTTAAATAAGCGTGGTGATTAATGCTCTAACATTCTTGCGGGCCTTTGGCCCAGCAGTTTTTTTTTATGTAATAGGTCGGCAAACGAGCAGACGGATTACCTGATGGTAAGCATTCAGCGCCGCCCATGGACACTCGCAACGGAGGAGTTACGAGTGCGTTGCCGACCTTTTAGGGATTACGGATTTGGAGATTTAGGGATTGGGGGAGGGGAAGGATTGGGCCTCCGGTAACCTCACTCACGCGGCGAAACACAACGCTGTGGTTATTTCACGCCGGTTTTCTGTGAGGCCGTGGTATCACTCCGGTCGAGCCGACCCATTCGTGCCGAAGCATGGCTCTCCCACACTTGACAGCGCCGTCCGGTCCGTCAGACAGCGGTTGGCATTTAGAGGCTGAT